CATCGTGAAACCCCGTCTTTAAAAAAAAACTCCCAGGGTGAAATGGAAAGAAAGAAAAAAAAAATGTTATGACATTGTGCTCTGTCAAGTTACTTGCGTCTCCCACACCTCCAACTCAGCGGACTGCGCCTGTGCACTGCTCCCCCGGCCTCGCCTGAGCGGCTAGTAGGAGGTGTCGCCGCCCCAGGAGTCTGCGGCCGAGCCAATGGAGCCGCGAGAAGTCCCAGGGCGGAGCCTGGATGCGCGGTGCCAGGGAATCACTCCCGTGGATTTGGCCAGAGGCCTCTGACTTTTTGTCGCATAGGCTGGAGTGCAGTGGCGCTATCTCAGATCACTGTGACCTCTGCCTCCCGGGCTGAAGCGATTCTCCTGCCCCAGCCTCCCGAGTAGCTGAGATTACAGGCGTGAGCCACATGCTAGGCTAATTTTTTGTATTTTTATTAGAGACAGGGTTTCACCATGTTGGCCAGGCAGGTCTCAAACTCCTGGCCTCAGGTGATCCACCCTCCTTAGCCTCCCACAGTGCTGGGATTACATCACACCAGGCTAATATTTTGGTTTTTTAGTAGAGACGGTGTTTCACTATGTTGGCTACGCTGGTCTCAAAATCCTCACCTCGGGTGATCCACCTGCTTCAGCCTCCCAAAGTGTTGGGATTACAGGCATGAGCCACTATGCCGGCTTTCATTAACCCTATTTCCTGTTAAATACCCATAGAAAAACAATTGCTAATCTGTTCCTTTAAGTTTACCACACTATGATATTTAGCACCACCCAGTGGCAATTTTTTCTTATGGTCTTGTGAAAAAATAGCAATTTTGCAAACTCTTGATCTCAGAATACCTCAATCAACAGAAACAAGAAAAAAGTTGCAAATCAAACTGAAATAATTTAATTTTCATATTTATTTATTTATTAATTTTTATTTTTTTAAGATGGGGTTTCACCATCTTGGTCGGGCTGGTCTTGAACTCCTGACCTCAGGTAATCCGCCCGCCTTGGCCTCCAAAATGCTTGGATTACATGCATGAGCCACCGTGCCCGGCTTATTTTTATTTTAAAGATGGGGTTTCAGGCCGGGCACGGTGGTTCAAGCCTGTAATCCCAGCACTTTGGGAGGCCGAGGCGGGTGGATCACGAGGTCAAGAGATCAAGACCATCCTGGTCAACATGGTGAAACCCCGTCTCTACTAAAACTACAAAAAA